CCCATCATCAAAACAAGAACCAACACGAGAACAATCGTCCGAACAATAATCAAGAGGGACAAACGACACAACATAATTGGAGTCACAGGCCCCACAACCGAAACAACAATTACCAACAAAACAATCGATGGAATAATCGACAAAACAATCAAAACACACCAAGAGAAAACAATCAGCAAATTAATCAAGTTACCACAAGCAATGAGAGTGATGAGCCAGAACAAACTATCAATCAAATGGAGGGAAATGGTGAGTCATTCAGTCCATACATACAATGCCTCATTGAGGGAGAAGAAATTGAAGTACTGGTAGACACCGGAGCAACAATCAGCGTGTTAACCAAAGAAGTGGTTGATACAATAATTAAGAAAAATCCACGAATACCACAGCTACCTGTCACCGGAGTTAAGATAAGTAATGCTGTCGGCAAACAAATATGCAAAACCTCAAGACAAGTGTTCTGTCAGTGTCAATTCAAAGAAGCCACTATAGTGTCTAATTTCATACAAGTCGAGGGACTTAATGAAAGGGGCATTATTGGGTCAGATATACTAAATAAATACAACATGCGAATTGACTTTGACGATCACACGATCAGAATGAAAATATCAGGACAAATCTACTTCATCCCGTTTTCAAAAAAATTACCAAAAATTACTGCACCACAGGGAAGCTTAAAAGATATGACCATCAATGAGTGCGACGAAGAAAAAAAAGATCAAGTAGCAATCAATGATGAAGAAAGTGAACAATTCGATACACTCATGAACCAATACGCACACATTTTTTCCGACCGTCCCGGGAAAATCACTGCATTCGAATGTCAAATTCGAACAACAGAGGGGACACCCATTTACCAAAAACCATACCCCATTCCAGTATCAAAAAGTAATCGCATCGACCAAGAAATACAACGAATGCTAGAACTTGACATCACCGAAACGCATGAAAAATATGGACATCTAGGACCTCTAAAGATTTACCAAATGCTACATCGACAATATCAATTATTTAACATGTACCGAACAGTCAAGCGAATCATAAAAACTTGTGACCTATGTCAGAAATCAAAATGCGCCAACCAAGGAGCAAGGGGACCAACAGGGACCATCCTACCCACTGAACCACTTCAAATCGTCTCTCTTGATCTAATGGGACCATTACCAAGGGGACAAGGTGGATCGAAATACATACTTGCTATACTAGATATCTTTTCAAAATATATTCAATTATATCCACTTAGAAAAGCAACCACTGACACTATCCTCAAGCGCATTACTCAAGAATACATACCAAAGATCGGAAAAATGAAGTCCATACTCACCGACAACGGTACGCAATTTCACAGCAACAAATGGTACAATGTGCTAACCCTCATGAACGTGAAAATATTACATACAACTCCGTATCATCCAGAAGGCAACCCGGTAGAAAGAGCAAACAGGGAGATCGGCAGGATGTTGAGAACCTACTGTCACAAGAAACACACTGCTTGGGTAAGATGGCTCACCAACATCGAATATTGGATAAACCACGCTACTCACGACTCCACAGGTTTTTCTCCAACACAGGTTCTTCATGGTACTGAACCAAACCTTAGCATAAGTAAGAAAATTCACTACCCAGAGAATACCATTCTACCTGACCACAAAGGAATAATCGAAATCGTAAGAACCAAGTTAAAACACCAATCAGAAAAACGCAACCAACAAAAGGACAAAAATAAAAAATTCCCAAAATATGAAGAGGGACAACAAGTGTTAATAAAGGAACATAAACTATCGTCCGCAGAAGACCGAGAGATACACAAATTTTTCCTTTTGTACAAGGGACCATACACCATACAATCAGTGAACCAAAATAACACAATCACAGTATGCAATGATCAAAACATCATATCAACACACAGCATGAAGAATGTCAAACGGTACATGCCCCCAGATCCAGGGAAGAGCAGTACTGAAGACACCTCTGCAAGACTATAAATAAAACACCAATAAGACCATGTTGTCATTTGTCCTCATAATTGTCATAACATAATTTTATATATTTCCAGATGGACGACAACATGGCAAACGAACATCTAAATGATCATTTATATTATTTAATGATTGAATTGTTTAATAACGATTATTTAGATGAAGATAATCAACTACTATCCATTAGAAAACCTCGCGAAACACATGAAACACTACAACGTCTAGATATACAACAAAAACAAAAGACAATTGAAGAGAAAAAAGCAGAAGCCAGATGTTTACGCATAAAACAAGCACAAATTACACAATATTCCATCGAACCAACATTCACCATACCAGACTCTGTCAAACTAGTGTTAAAAGAAAATCAACCAACCACACAAACAACTGCAATCACCATTGAAGACGAAACCGATAACAGGGATGCAGAACTAGAGATACACATCAATGACACGGAACAAAGTGCCATTGAAGAAGAAATTACCGCTGATCCAGAAGAAAAACCACTTAGCAATCGTGCCAAGAAAAAAATGAAATGGATAGCGAACATAGGTAAAATAAGAAAACATGAGTAAAAAAAAAAAACTTACTTACAGATCCTCCGGATCTATAGCGCATACCGACCTACAGTGGAAAAGACATCCATGTGTAGCATACAAAGTTTACATTAATTTTTTTTTTTTTTAAATTTCTCTTTCACACATATAATAAAAAAAAAAAAATAAATGTAAAAGGGGACAATGTAACGATGCAGAATTGCTATTATAATTAAATATAACGGAATATGTGTCGCCATCTATACACGCGCCAACACGCGAACCCAAACTATTAAACACGCGCCGCCGTAACGATAGGAATACCTACTTATGCTACCAACTTGTCACTGTAACGACTTATTCAAGCATATTGAACGATATAAGTTAAAGCTATACAACGCTCTTAACACGCCAAGCATATAAAGAAGTACCAAAGAAGTTGAATTAAGAAGAAAACACGTATTACATCCAGAAAACCGATGACGCAATGACGCCGCATAGAGTGCGCGCCGTTACGCAGGTTTTCCGACCGTCAACACTTCTAGCGACTTTATGGAAAACCACCACGACAGCCCGTAAAACTGTTACAACCATCATCTTCCCCAGAAGATTACACCCTAATTACATGTAGCCGCCCATAGGGTAGAGAGTCTACAACATACAGAAATACAATGAAAGCAACTACCTACTTTCACCTATACAACACACCGCCCGTAGTGCAAACAGGGCATAAATATGAGCCAGCACGGTCAATGGAAACACACAGTTCACTCAACTCACTCAGTTCACCAGTTTTACAGTTTCAACACATCAAATCGCACGCCGTTTCAACTTACCGCCTTTCTTAGTGTGTAACTTCAAACCGCCTTCTCCCGCAAAGCCCTCTCCCTATACTCGCAGTGTGAGTGGTGGTACGCCTCAAAACGTACTGTTCAAGCCACTCACACTTAACAGTAGACGGAGAGGAAGATTCCCCCAACACTCTCGCTAGGTATCGGTGGTGGTACGCCTCAAAACGTACTGTTCAAGCCCCCGGTACCCAGTTGCAGTAGTCGTTGTTTTTCCCCGTTGCCGCCGCCGCCACGACGAGCGCGCCGCCGCGACCGGTAGACCCGCATTACCGTCCCATCGCGTGTTACGATCTTCGTTACGCCGAGCGCCGTTATCACGCCGCGTGTCGTATTGTTATCGCCGCCGCCACACAGAGCGCGCCGCTGTGATCTCGTATCAGTCCGTTGCCGTATCACCGTTGTTGTTGTCGTCGTTCACGTATCGCAGACGTATTGACGGTACGCACGACAACCAACGCATGATACCAAAGTGATACATATCAATATCATCAACCACGTTGGAACCAGTCGAGGAGAGTGCAGTACCTATACCTGAGGACGAGTCAAGCCACCGCCCGGGAACATTTTTGTATCGTTGTCATCCAGCACCACCGATAGAGTAGGCTGCCATTGGACACAACATACCCATAGTCTGTCTCTTACTTTCACGGTCCACGTGAGTCTTTAGATATTGTAATTTATCATACCACATTTAAATAAAAAACCATATCTGTAGCTCGACAGAGCATATGTATGTTAAAAGAAAATACTGTAAAACAAAACTGAATAAATTAATTATTTTGAACTGAAATAAAATATCTGTAGCTCAACAGAGCATGTGTAAATGAAAAGAATATATTGTAACACAATTAAATAAATTTGACAATTCTTTTCAAAATGCAAGAATAAAAAACACTATATATCAAACAAAAACAATCGGTGTTTTGCATTCTTACATTGTTCAGATATTAATTTACCGATGGGGTGTGTCATTATTGCCCGTAATAATAATATGCCACACCTGTGGAGATTACCTGGAACAACGCTACGTAAGTAATATTATATTATAGCTAGTGTTCTCTATACGCAAGCGAGCTTTAGTCCACCTATGACACGTCACCACGTGATATCCCAACTAAGTATATTTAGAATTTTCAAATTTCACGTTCACGAGTAATGCCGTCCGTTTTCGTTTATTATGCATTCTGTCCAAAGGACTAACGAATGGCTCGGTAACACGAAAACATACCAAGCTATTTTTTAATATAAATAATATATAATGCCATGTTTTCCAAGACTAGCCCGTGTCAATATCGTTTATTATTCAACTATAGTATATTGATATTAAATAAATACAGAGATGCCTAATTAGTTGTTAGTATTTTTTAATTTACCAGCCAGGGTTTCTCAACATTTATTGTTAGGTACCCCGGTAATTAATTACGCATATATTATAAATTGCAAAAATTAAGAATCTATTAAAAAAAAATACATGTATCAGAAAAAAAATTACATATAATTATATTATACTAGTGTATAATAAAATATAAAAAAATAATAGTCAACATTTTTTTGTGTGATATATATTAAAACAAGGTGCTGCGCATAAGCCCACATCTCATTCTGCATACGTGTTTCTAGTGTCAGTTCGCTTATTATTTTTTTTTGCATAGTTGGCATCTTCTTCTGGCAAATCTTCCAAATTGTGTTGCTGGAACTTCTGAGGGAAAATTCCTATCAATTAGCTTTGATGGTTGGTCCTTAGTCGGTGGTCTTGATTTTGGCACACGATCGGTTTGATATTTTTCAATAACCTGCCTTATTAGTTCCATCTGAAACTGTGCTATTGGAATATGGTTTCCAGTAACTGTCTTTTATGATGAGTAAGCATTTAATAATGATAAATCTATCAAATTAAAAAATTATTTTTTGTACCACTTTATTGTTTTTCTTACACACTCCATACTACTAAGTAACATATCAGTCTTATCCACAGATCCCATATTTTCATCATATTCTTTTACACATTTCGGTTTCATGGTTATTTTACCATGTTTTTTAATAGGCGATTGTTCATCTCCATGTATCGTGGTAAGCATATGCTCCTCTTTCCGGTCCATCCATCTTCTTTTAAACATTTTTCCAGTATGTTTACTTTCAGTTTGAGTTGGTTGAAATTTAGTTTTTTTGAATGGTGGCATTCCACGACGATTACATCTTACAGTACCACAAGTATTGGTTTTTTTTTATGCAAGTACATTGATAGTATTGGTGATGCATACCAGTTGTCAGTATATAGAGTATGGCCTTTATTTAAATATTTATTCATCAATGTGCAGCACCTGATTGGCCTAAGTTAGGATCACACGAAACAAGACGTGTAGTTTTCCCAGTGTATATAATAAAATCTAAAATATAGTCTGTTTCTACATCACACAAAATAAAAAATTTTATTCCAAACAGATGACGTTTAGTTCTTATGAATTGCTTGAATGAAAGTCTCCCTTTCCATAGCATAAAACTCTCATCTATATCAAGATTTTGAAATGGAACCATAGCAGATCTGAAATTATTATTTATGTCTTGTAATATCATATCAATTTTGAAAAAGCGGTCATTTGTGACTTGATTTTTATTATTAAAAAAATGAATTTAACTCAAAAGTAACTGAAACCGATTTCTACTCATGTTTTTCCAAAAATAGGAGAATAAAGAAGTGGATCTGAAGACCAAATTCTGAAATGTCAAGTTTTTTATTTCTAGCCTTAAGCATTTGTACTGAAATAAATAAATATAACTCTTCTGATGTAGTGTCATACCAACTTGCATTGTACATAATATGTGATTCAGTGTTTTGCCTATAGTATTCATTTGTTTCATATGCAACTTTGCCCAATAAAAATGGAGTTACGAGAGCTTCAAAAAAATCTATTTTTAAATAATTATAATTATATATACATTTTTTCTATCAGATTATCTGATAACAATATAAACGAGTGAACGTGCATGTGCGTCAATGGCCTATCAATGTAGTTTGTCATTGACGCATATGTTCGAGAAAGGGTTAATAGAAAATACAATAAAAACACAATTACATCAATATTCAACAATTTCAATAAACTGTGTTTACAAACAATACAAATGTCCAAACCGTAGTATGTAACGACAGTTGTAAGTGTCATCCACTCATAATAATAAACTTAACTTAAATAAATAAAAACGCGATGAAAAATTAAATGTCTTACAGGTATTATTATTATTTTTAAACATTTACGTTGTTCGAAAAAAAATGCTAATTTATAAAACAAAATAAACACAAAAGATAAAAATAAAAATATTATTCTGATAAAAAATATTATATTAAGTGGGTACCTACATTAATTTCAGTATTATGCAAATTGTGGCTTAATCTGTTGATTTCTATAGTTACAATAATTATCATCGCAATAACACAGCTGCAATAATCTCTGTTATTCGCGGAGATTCATTTAATTTCGAAGCCCGTCTGCAAGTCGACCAGATACGCTATTAGATAATAATATTATTATATACTATTTAACTCGTCCGTTTATTTAGTATCATATTTCAATCTCATTGGGATTTCAAGGGTTTGCCCAGTATATAATCCGAACGTCCCATGATCATTTATGGAGACTACAATAAATTTACAGCAGTTGTAGACGATAATAATAATTATAAGCATCTACGCCGACGTTTAATTTGTCAACGCGTTTACGTCGTGTATTTCACATATTGTCATACGAGTGGAGAAGCAGCTGAGATGAGTAATTAAATTGAAATTCGTTAGTATTTAAATACGTTTTCGACGACCAGCATTAATTTGATGAATACATTTTTTTATTTAGTACCTACTAACGGGGAGAAATGTTTAGTTAATTATACTTTTTGTTGAAACCGTTGTAGGTATAAAATAAAAAGAACAAATTTATTAACTCATCTCACATTTTACTCACGAATACCTCAATTATATATATTAAAAAAAAAGAAAAGGGAACAGAGAAAAAAATTTAAACATATTTTGCACAAAAGGTTATGTTTAAAAAAAGTTTTATTCGAAGCGTGAAAAATGCACTAAAAAACAGTACAATATACAATAAAAAAAGAAAAGAAAAATAGCCGTCTGGTACGAAATACAATAGTTGCGTGTGCGTATATTTCAGACAAATCATAGGTCCGTTACTACGTAGGTTGTCTTTATACATTTTCGAAAAATGATAATATTCGTTTAACTCAAATAACGAAGTTTATTAGGTATTCGTTTACGGTAAAAAAAATGGTTGAGTCGTGATTGTTTTAAAAAATTAGATCCTTGCCATAAACCGTTAGTTGTTTTTCAGAAACAATATACTAGGACAACATATAAAAACATACAACATGTGCCATCGTTTTAGAACTAGAGGAAAATGAAGCTTGCAAATCAAATAGGTATCAATGTAATCCATGGAAAATGATCATATTTTACCATGGTAAAAGTGTGAAGTCAATATATTTGTCACTATTCAACCTTATATAGTTACATACCGATAGCGTAATAAAATTGTTGGCAACAAATTTAAAATATTTTTAATATTAATTAAAACCATGCAATCTGTGTGGTTGCATGTATTGTGATTGAAGTGTAATTTGTATAAGAAAAAGTTTAATTTAGGTTTAACAGGAAGTGTTGTGTCTCAGCTGTTGTTTCCCTGCGGTGTAATTATTATTATTTTTTTGTTCTATTCCAAACTTGTGGATTCGTTGCTCTTAACGAAAAAGGAAAACTTTAGAAAAACAGAAAACGCTTGTTGTAAATCACCTTTCACGGTGAAATCTAAATGAACAGCCCATTTTATTTAGAGTTTTCGAGAAAAGTTTTCGTGTAATAAATCAAAAACTCTATGGGTGGATATAGTAACATTTAAGAAGTAATATAAGTACCTATATATAACCATCAAAGTATTACAACTTGAAATACATGTTGTGTTATTATGTAATTAATTCCTGTTTATTTAGAAATTTCCAGGACTATTAAATTGTACCTATATAAATTAATAATTATACATTCATTTCGATATTGGTTGTTAATATATTTTACCGTCAATCGATTTGTCATGTTTTTTTTAAATTTTAAATAATTGGTGCAAACATTATACTGTCTAAAGGACAACGAACTAAATATTCCAATATTTTGTACTAATTAACATGGATATTGTGTTCTTAGATTCTATTGGATTTAAGCTATCAGTTTTACATTGACGAGTTTAACTTTTGGAAAGTTCTATTTTAAACAGTAAAAGTGATCAAAGAGTTTCTCAAAATTTATAAGTCTGCTATATAATACATAAACAACAAAGATTGCACTTTAATGATGTCATATTTTTCGTCGAATAAATTTGGTCAGACCAGGGCTCTGTCGGTTGCGCTGAAAATATCATTATTATTATTATTATTATTATGACCAAACTTTTGGATCGAAAACTAATTTCACAAAACTGTCATGCGATGACTTACCGCGTGCTACCAGATTCTATAAGTTCACTATATAATAAGAATAACACAGTTGCGTCGCGATTGTGATTGCGATTGTTTGATGCACTCACAGTATCCGTCTTATAATAATTAATTCATTAATGTTTTGAGTTGATGCGGTACATATATTATATATTGTTTGTAGGTTGGTTAATATTTAACTGCTTTTACCACTGCCGTTTGACGTCGCGTTTTACAGTAATAGATTATTATAATAAATAAAAATGGTCGGTTGGTGGAAATGAGCCGATAAAACGGTACGCGTATTACGGAAACGGACACTGTAATGTGTGTGTCTAATGTCTATATAAAACTAATAATATGTTGTTATATTATTACGAGTAGGTATATACGATGTTAGTTGACAAACTCCCGCCGTAGGTACTTATTGCAACTGTACACGCGTAATAAACTTATATCTATATAGAGAGTGTAACAGACTATAATACCAAGCTAGTGCACAACGGGCGTATCTGTCGCACCATATACAGAATATATATTGTGTCGGTGGAAAAAAACCGGAATCGAGCGTTTGAAAAAAGGTAGGTATATACGGCGCAGCGGAGCCGTAAATTGAGAACGTAAATCGTCGAGAAAGAGAGAGAGGAAAAAAAAAATAAAGAAACTTTTGACGCTTTGCAGTTTACCCCCTCCCCCGACACTATTCAACGATTTACTCTATTCGTTTAGCTTTTAAATTATTATCTCACATACACACATATGCGCCTACACAAACGCACACCCACACACACACACACACACCCACTCGGAGGATAGGAGCAATATATGTATGTCGAACACAATATAATATATATATACGCACGCAGAGTTAGCGATATTGGCCGGCTCTAAAAATTTAGCGTGAAAGCAAAAAAAAAAAAATTTACGCACCAACACAACCACACAATAATATATACGGCCGTCGTCGGGGGGTTGCGCGCGCATTGGAAAACAGTATTGTGCCGAGTGAAAAGTTTTTCCTCGACAGACTGCTGCACGATAATAATAATAATAATAATAACGAAAACGCACGTCCGCGCAATATTCTTCGGATTTAGTGGATACGTATTGAATACGCTATACGCGATGTTGTTGCGATGTATATTATAGTATATTATTAGGTATGAGTTATTATTCCACTGTCGTTTTTCCATTTTTTTTTTCTCTCGAGTCGCACTCGAAACTATATTATATATACTTACTATATAGAGACCCACACCGAAGACTTCATACAATAATATAACAACAATATCGTCGCGACAATATAATGATGTTAAACTGCTAACCCATAATAATATTATTATTATGTAAGAATAGTGCAATACACGCCATTATTTTTCCCGTTTCATTTCGATATTAATTTCCATCACTTCACGTGATCTCGTCCACCGAGATCAAAAAACAACTATAAATCATACAGGCAAGGGATCGCACCAGCTATATAAGTATTATGTCTATAACTGTTATTACGCGTACCTACGTCAATCTAAATCATCGGCGTGCAGATTTCCAACGCCAGCAGAGAGAGAGGAAAACGTATTTCACGATTACCGTGTGTTTTAGCTTTAGAGGTTAATAGCTGGTATTAGGTATACGTGGAACCTATCATATTATGTAGATGGAAGACCTTTTTATTAGTACGTCACCATAATTTACATATTGTTTGAGATAC